GCCTCCCTGCGGGAAATGGCGGCGGTCGTGCCGGGCCTGTGGCGTGGCTGGTGGGCTCACGGAGTGCCTGTGCCGCCCTCTCTTGCCTCTCACTAGCCCATCTCTAGCGTCTCTCTAGCCTAGGTGTGCCGGGCTGCGGTAGAAGAGCCTCTCGGCGTGCTTAGGGCCTTTCCGCCGCTGAGTCGGGCGGCGCCATCTTGAGTGTGGAAGGAGGGCGGGTTGTGGGGGAGCAGCGTGAGGCGGTGTTCCCGCCGGCTGGAGCGGGGGAGCCGGCTCTGTGTTGTGTGGCGGCAGCTGTCGGCACCCCTGGATGTTGGCAGTGCTTTGGAGAAGCTGGCTTGTCTCTTTGTCAGCTGAGAGTTGCTACTGGCTGTACACCTTCAAGAGGGCGTTTGGGAGCTCTGTATCAGAGCTGGGAAACATGCGGGGAGATGTGGTTCATAAGCAGGTTGTCGCAAAGTGTGTATACACACAAAATATTCAGGGTTTATGGAAGCATTTTTATCAAGCCTTTGTGCTGTCTCAGTCTTCCTAACAATTTCCAGGGGAAGCAAACTATTAGTGATGGCTGGAGACCTTAATGGATTGTTTCAGTTCATGACAGCATGCCTTGGAGGTGTTTTACACCTAGTTTTCTAGTAATAAACCAGTAGCAGGTTGATCCCAGGTGTGCGCTGCTGGATGTGAAGAGCTGAATACAGTAGTTGTGCTCAAGGACCAGCTGTGTACTGGTCCACAGTACAGAAGTACTGTAAGAAGTTTGTAATTGACCTCTGTTAACAAATGGTAGCCTAGTAACTAAAAGCATAAATTATTGGCAGGTTTGACCCTCAACTTGTGCTGTAGTGAGATTTTTGATTAGTGGCTTTTCATTTCACTCCTTGCTGTTTGGATGTGTCTGTACTTTGGTGCGTTCATCTGAGCAGTTGCTTTCAAATCTGTGTTTTTCCCCTGTTTGAAGCAGGGAGTTGGGTACAAGTCCTGAATACGCGTCTTGGGGCTCCATGCTGGTCCCATCAAGGCAACCCTCAGTGTTTGTGGTGATGTTGTTACTCTTTGCACCAAACTAAGATCTTCAGGGCAGATCTCCAGGCAAACAGATTTCTAGCGCAACTGGTGCTGTTCTTAATGGGATGCTACAGCAAAAGCTCTGCTCCAGAAACCTAAATGCCACTGTTTGTAAATTTAGTAAAGCTGGCAGTAGTGCTCATATTGCACATGAAATGGAGATGCCAGGAATTCAAAACTGAAAAAGCAGGCTCAAATTATAATAGCTAAAAATAAATACCTGATTTTGGGTATGGTAGCTGCAACTTGCAAACCCTTACATTTTCAAAGCTGGCTAAACCCCTTCTAAAATTACTTCTTGAGAGTAGAGTGGATAAATTAGAATATCACCAGCATGTTCTTCAACCTGTGTATTGCCAGTTTAATGAGGATTTTTATTTTTTTTTTTTGGTGAGGTATACTTGAAGGCTTTATTATTAGCTGTATCTTCAGCTGTTAATTTTCAAACTCATCTGTTGTTATATGAAGGACATTTGTGAGGCTGTCAGCCAGCCATATCTTCCCTTTCAATTAATATGTTTCCTTTTCTATTCCTAGTTTTGTTAGTATTTGAAACCACCCTACGTTCCCTTGTCCCAAGCTGAATTGGAGGGTCCAGAAGATTGCATCCCTGCTGCTCAAAATCAGATCAAATATCAGAACCTTGTGAGACTGAGATAAAGCAACAAGCTGCTTTGTCAATAAAATTAATCCAAAAACTTTCAAAGGAGTAGTTTTTCTTGGGCAGACTTCATGCAAGTGCTAGTGTTGTTTGTTCATGTCGCTCTTACAGCATATCATACAGCACAAAGTAAGTGTGAAAATGTAAAGCTGTATTAAAAACATGTCATGCATCTTTGCCAGTTTGATGATTGGAAATGATGATCCGGGCCACACTTCTGTAAAATATCTTCCTCTGTAGCTCTGGTACAGTCACAGATGTATTGGCCAAGGATCTTTTCTGAGTTATTCTCCCTGTGTCAGGGATTTGTTTTTCCTGTGCTTTCCAATTTTAATTGCTATTGAATGTGTCGTAACCTTCGCAGGGCACTGTGGGGCACACATGGGAACACATACAGGCAAAGTCAGTTATTAAACTTGTGAAATTAGCCTGTGCAATAAAAGCTGAAATTGGAGGAACTATGTGCTGGAAATGGTTTTCGATAGCACAGCGAAGGCGAAGAGCAGGCTTAATAAGACAGTTGGTTTCTACATTAATCCATAATTATGCAATGAAGCCTATTCTTTTCACGGTGAAATCATGGTAAAATTAGACGCTATTTTGGTTTTTGTCTGTGCAGAGAGATATAGTCCCAGGTGGTACGTGGCTCTGTGTTCCTTCTCTCAGCACAGCAGCTCTGCCCCAGCCCTTGGAGGCAGCTCCTGCCTGTACTTGTGCTGCTCAGCCACCAGTGGGCAAGTCATCTGCTGCTGCTGCTGCTCCAGCCCAACCTGCGCCGCCCCGTCTGGGTAATAACGATTTTTACTGCCTTTTCCCACGAGAACAGAGGAGCAGAGAGGAGGTATTCTGCCTGCACGTTCTCTGTAGAACTGACTTTGAGATGTGATTGCACTTCACACAGCAACGCGGTGTTAATGTTTGAGCGAGTAGTAAAGTGATTTAGCGTCGCACTAGAGTTGTATGGGCTAATTATGTACCCCAGAGGACTAAATTGCTTTCTGACTAGCCTGGATATCCTTGTGCTGCAGCGGTGTGTGCGGTGTACATATAACCTAACGTTTTTACCAGCATGTATGTATATTTAGCTTCGAATGATGTTTAAATTTAAAATAAAACCTAACCTGTATTTTCTGATTGTTTTTCAGTTTTATCTGTGCTTCCCAATTCAGTTTGGAAGAGAGGGGGCTGAAGAATAATGTTTTGTATGAAATCTGGTTGAATTTTTAGACACAAGAGGTACTGCTTAATGATTTCAGTACCATATGCATAAATTATAAATAAAAACTTGAAACAGTGTTGGATAAATTCTTAGACCTAGAGTTTAAAAGTTAAATATTCATAATTCCTTCTTTGCCGTGTGTTTTTCTGCCCTTACCTCCCTCTTTCCTAACAGATCTCAATTTTTTGTTTTCTTTGGCTATGGATGTCTGCTCTAAAAGGCAAGGTGTTACACGAGGCTTTAACAGCAATTGTCCTAAAGCTCACTCTGAGCTCTGCTGTATAGCAATCTTCAGTCTAGGATTTAACAGTAAGGAGGCCTTTTTTTTTTTCTGTCCCTCATAATATTCTTTTTAGCAGAAACATCCCATGTGTCTTTCATAGTGTCATAATGGCAAATAGAGATGTTCACTGATGTAAAAATAAAATGACATGCTGTAATACTGAAGAAATTAAAATTACTTTCATTTAATGTGTATTAGACCATTATAAAGATCCCTTATGCATCAGAGATAGCTAAAGATACAGCATGTATTGTGAAATACAAGGTGTAGTTCAGTATGACACAATACATAGTTGCTGTAAAAAAAAAGTGTATGTAACTGCTAAGAAACTGGAATCAGATTGCATGCACAGCATTAAGAAGAATATAATTTTACATTTTAAAGCTTAAGTTCAAAGTGCCAAAGAATGAACCAAAACATTGATGGCTGTAAAGAAATCCATTCTACGTGAGATGAAGGCGTAGCAGAAGAAAGGTATGAGGCAGCCTGAAGGCTGTTCTTATTGATGCAAAGATACCCTGTGTGACTAAATCAGCCTCCTCAAACTCTGAGGCTTCCTTCTCAACCTGGTAAGTAAGCTGTAAGAAGGTGGAATTACAGGCATGATGGAAGACAGCATCAGAATTCAAAATCATGTTGGTAAGTTGATGAGGTGGCCTGCCATCAGTGATAAGAAATGGAATGAAGGCAAGTTGACAGTTCTTTATTTCATAGGGCAAAAACTCCAGTGCAGAAAGGCAAGATGGGAGGTAACTGGATCAAAAATATTATTACAGAACAGAACTTGGAGATTGCAAGGGACCAGAAATACGAATCAACAATATGATGTATCAGGAAAGGTGCAAACATGAAAGACAAGGATGAACCTGTTCTGCTCTGCTTGGTGCTGGTCAAAGCTTGAGTGCTGTACAGCTTTGCAGAGCGTAGTTTAAGACAGGAATAAAGAAACTGGAAAGATCTGGAAGGAAAAGACAAAATCTTTACTTATATGTCATGTTTTTAAGCTTAGGGTAGCTGTCTGGTAATGGTTTTCTGCTATGTAGAAAGATTTTATACAGATACTGCATCCAAGAATAACAGCTGCATTTGTAGAAAAGGATAAATTGGACTGAATATGAAGGAAAGTCTAGGTTATCAATAGGGCATAGTGGAATGATCTTTAAGGGTGATGATGAGCCACAGGGCTGCTCTTTATATGCTGGGTTTCTTATTCTGTGCTCCAGAAATGGTGGATTTCAGATACTGTGAAGAAAAAGAAGCCATTTCTCAGAGTGAAGAGAGGAAAAGAAGTGAGGGAACTCATGGGGAGGCACAGAAGTCTGGGTCTGTGTGAGGAAGCAGCAGAGGCTGTGGGATGAAGGAAGAAGTTGGTAACAGACCAGAAATATGAGGCAGTTGAGGGGCCAGGAAGTTAAAAAGTAATGGAAACAGGAAGAAGTGTGGGCAGGCAGAGCTGGGAACCTATAGTTTTAAGCATTCTGCTTCTCTGCATGAAGATGGTGCTAGGTGACCTCAGGATGGTTTTTCTCAGCCCTCTATTTTATCCTTGTCTGCAAGGAAGTGTGCAGTAAAGTATTCAATTTCTCATCTGCAAACCAAAATGTCCCCTCATTTGCTGAATGCTGTTGAAAAATATTCTTGTTGCTGGAACAATTTACCGTATCATACCTGATGTCAAACATGATTTCCACCATATGTGTAACAAATTTCTTTCAACTTGTGGGCAAACCCATTTTCTGAGAAAGGATTTGTGACAGTGATGTATTTCGCTTACACTTTGGGTTTCTAGTGCTCCCACTTCAAACACCAGGGCAAGTCCTTGTAACTGGGGCACTGAAATCTTTTTGTCCTGTGCTGTGGTGACTCTCGATGTGCATCTGAACTTATTACAGTCCTCAGACGACAGAGAAAGGCTGTGCACATCCTTCATCAGGATGCAAGTTTTGAGTTGGCGTAAGTTGATAAACTCAGATCCGAGGTGTCTGTCTTCCACTAGGAGTTACCTTGTTCCTAGATGTGTAATGGGGCATCACTAACCCAGGGTTGTACCGATGCCCCGTCACCTGGGACAGCCCTGACTGTCAGGTTGTATGATAAAAGATACCACCAAAAAGGACAGAGAAACAGGGGTGGGTGGGGGACCCCCATAACATAATCTGAGACGTGGCTGCTCCCAATCTCATTTTTTTATTCCTTAGATAAAACCAACATTGCAATATTTTTTGATTCTTTTAATTTGTCCCATTTCCCTCATATCTACCTGTATGATATATATGATTTCCCTAATCGTATCTCTACCTATATTTGCCTTCAAATTCTGTCCTCAACACCCCATAAAATTCAAAATTTAACAAGCTAGTTTTGAAAGTAAGACCTTACTGTATGTGCTAATATGCAAAGAGATCAGTGTTATGATTAAGGATTCATAAGCAGTAATATGTGTCCCTGCCGATGAAGATTGCCCCTCGACACTGGAACTCCTGTGAGGAAAACAAATGCATCGTATTAACTGAACAACCAGATATCCCAGATGTTATTGGTTGTCTCAAAGGAAGCATATCTTCATCTTTAAATGAACAGATGCTTATCACCTTCATTTATTCTTGGCTCTATACAGGCACATTTCTGCTGGTTTTCATGACAGCAGCTGCTTTTGTTATTCATGGACTAATTTCCACAAAACTTCTACAGTTTATCAGTTGATGAGTCTCACCTTGTATCAGAAACTAGACAGCAACGCTAGGCATTATTTTAAGCTCCAGTTATGTGCAGAACAGAAGTGATGTGACCATTTTTGTTTCAAGTGAACAGCTGTCATGAGCTACAGTCTTGTGTGGAAATAATAATCTACCTCCCCACAAACTGAAATTGACCCCCAAATATATACTTTCATCACATCCATGTTTTCTGTGTGCAAATTCTGTTTAAGACCTAATGCTGATTTGTGTTAAAATGTATGGGGTTTTTTTGAAGAAGTACCCACTCATGGTTTGTCATGGTGTGAGTCCAGAGGGCAAGTGAACACCACGGAGCCACTCGCTCTCCTCTTCCCCCTCAGGAGTGCGGATAGGAGGAAATACTACAGAAGGCTTGGGAATAGAGATAAGGACAGGGAGGGGTGACTCCCCCATTATGGTCATGGGCAACAGACAGACTTGTTAGGGGGAGAAAAAAGACATCCATTTAATTCAGACACCAACACCACTTAACAGAGTGAGGCATCTTAAAGACACTTTCTCCCCACCCCTCCCATCTTCCCAGGCTCAGCTTTGCCCCTGATCTCTCTACCTCCCCCCCAGCAGGGCAGGGGGTTGCAGTCAGTCCTGCTGCTTCTTCCTCCTCAGGGAGGGGGAGGACTCCTCACATTCTGCCCTGCTCCAGCGTGGTTCCCCTCTCTCAGCAGACAGTTCTCCGTGACCCTTCTCTGAGCTGAGTCCTTCCCCCGGGCTGCAGCTCTCCCCGAGCTGCTCTGGCGTGGGTCCCCCCCACATGCTGCAGCTCTCCCGGCACAGAACTACAAGAGCGGGGGCTGCTTCTCCCCTCAGAGTCCCGGCCTCCTTCGGGCGCAGCCGCCTGCTCCGCTGTGGGCTCCTCCAGGGGCTGCAGGGCGGCATCTGCTCCACCGGTGCCCTCCGTGGGGGCAGGGGGGGCCCTGCCCTCTCACCACGGGGTACAGGGGGTCTCTGCTCCAGCACAGCTCCCCCCTTCCTCCTCCTTCCACTGCCCTTGGTGTTCGCACAGACGGTCTCCTCGCAACTCCTCCTCACAGCTCCAACTCCTCCCAGGTCCCCCTTCTTAAACACGTTGTCACAGCGGCGCAGCCGCCATCACTAATGGGCTTGGCCTTGGCCAGAGGCGGCTCTGACTCGGAGTCAGGGGAGCTTCGAGAACCTTCTCACAGGGGCCACTGCTGCAGCCCCCTCCTCTGCTACCACCACCACACCCCCCCCTTACCCCCAAACCCAGCACAGGCTTTGTAGAAGCTCTGCATCATCTATCTGTCTATGATATGTAAATGCTTCTACTTCTGTCTCTTGCTCAGCACAGAAAACACTGCTAACAGCTTGTGAAGATTTTACGCTACGTTTAGGATGAGAGTATTCCTCTTAAAAAATATCTAGAAATTACTACAGGACTGCATAGGATTAAAACATCTTTTATTATGACTATCTACAACAAAATTATTTTTTTGAGTAAACTGCTGTTTAACATCACAGAAGTCTTGACAGATTATAAAGCAAAACTTCCTATCTGATTTTTTGTCAGTTCCCCAGTCTACTGAAAACTGCATTAACACACATTTAGATTTTACAAATAAATCAACACAGTTCTAAATGCCCAAGATGTTGCAATATTTAAATTTACAATGTATGTTTTAAATATTTAATCCATGTAGTGTTAAAGGGACACTGTAAAACTTGGCAATCCTTAACAAAAATAGTCATAGTTCTTTATACTTAAGATCTATCATTTATCTAGCAGTGAATTTCTTATAGTACAAAAAAAATTTCAAGATCTTTAAAAACTACTTTCAACTGGATTATAGCAGCAGTTTACTAACATGCCCCACATTTTGGGCTGTGTTCACGTAAAGCTCACTTCTGAGCTAGGAAATCATTCCCCAGATATTGGTCAAGGAGGAAAACCCAGGCAATAGATATACTTAATGCACTTAAGTGTGCCTTAATTGGGCATTTTGACAGTGATCTGGACATTTAAGGATCTTGTAGCGGATACTGAGCACAGATTTAAACACAGATGATGGAGGATATCTTTGCTTTTGCACTGGCACACCTGTGAGCCTTCTGTGAGGAGCGCAGGTTTTACAATGCAGTAAAATCTGGCTACAGGGCTTCTAATATTGGATCAAATAAACAAACCAATAGCAGTATAACACAAAAGCCTCATTCAACCTGGTCTCACTCTCCTGATGAACATCTGCATACAAATTAGCCCGTACCTCATGGCAGGGGGTTATCACAAGTGCTCCTCTAACCTTCTCAAAAGCACAGAGCGATATTACTGCTGGTATTACCCTGCAGATGGCAAATTTGAAGGAATTAAATTACCAGCGGGTAACCTGTGACACCACAGCTTCATTAGGAAAACTGGTGGACCCTTCAGTGCTGTATATTTCTTCAGCCATTCTGACTTCCCTGCTTGTCACCTCAGATCTGTGACTGTGAACCCTCGGCTATCAAGAAGAGTGTCTGGACTGCTATGTAAATAACAGCATGTGTCAGCCGGCTCAAAAGGAAAACCACACTGTGGAATTTGTTCTGCGTCTCTTCACTGAATGGCTTTTCTGCTTCCCAGGCTAACCTTTTGTATTTTCTCCTCTGGCCAAGTGAGGATAGGATAAAAAGCTCTTGGCTTCATTTATGACTGAAGTCTGCCCAGTGATTCAACACTCCTCATGCAATACACCGATGCACTTGGATTTCTCAAAAAAAAAGGGACTGTGATCTGAGTGATAACAGGTCTTTTAGTGCTGCATTGCTGCACCTGTCCTGCCCACTCACAATTTTGTTTCAGCTTGGAGACAGGCACTGCTAACAAGAACTAGGCACATCACAACCTATCAGTACAAATCCTGGTGAAGAATATATTCGAATAGTAAAGGCAGAGAGTGCAGTGATCTGTGAAAGGAGAAAAACGTTACATAAGATACTGCTTCATAATTTTCAGACAGGGATGCTTTGTATTTTTTAACTTTTTTTTTTTTTTTCCCACCAGGATTTACACCAATAGAAGGCTGTCAACTTCCACTTGCCCATGCCTTAGAGCCCAAACTCCGGGCTCCCTTTTTGTTGGGTATGATGAGAGGGGGGGAAAAAGCAAAAAGCTTCCCCATGAAGTGAAAGCCGAACAAATAAGGCTAAACTGCACTAAAAGTCAGGAAAAACATTTGCAGTCTTTTTAGTAAAGTATATATGTCTATATACAAAAATAACATCAGGCAGTGTCCTTTTAAAAAAGTTAAATATATAGAGACTATTAGAATAATTACACAAACTACAACCATTTCAACAGGTTTTAAATATCATACATTCAATTTTCGTAAGCAAGTTACAATGTCATTTAGCATTTCTCAATGTATTCAGCTTTTTTTTGGAACAGACTGAAATACAATGCACTTTACTTTCCATAAAAACCATATGCACCAAACAACGAATAAGCAAACAGTGAACAGTTCAAGTTACATTCACTTTGTGGTAACAAGTGTACTACTGGCTGTTGAATCCAGCAGCTGCAGCAGGGCAAGGTAATTTTAGTGTTTCCATCCTTCCCCTACCACAGAGCATTAACAACCGAGCTACAATCCAGTCACAGAAAAATACTCTTAAACAGCAATAAAATCTTCAAGCTCGTCACAGTCCAGTTCTCCAAATTTACAGAACACAATATACTTTGAAAATAAACTTTTTTTTAATGGGCTCATCAGAAAAAAAACCCACAAAACACGTCAAGCAAGGACTCAATCTGCTTTGTACAGGCTAGTCTAACACACTAACTCGTTAGTTTACAAATTCTCTAATCCCTAACGGCACGCCTACAAGCAGAACAGTTTCCCAGCTGACGGTGTGAGCGCTCACTCGTGCCCTCCGCCCCAGCGCAGGCGTTCCCTGCACCACATCGGGAAGCACGAAAGCCTCAACACTCCGTCTGCCGTTGGATCCGCATCAAAAAGCTTTTTGGATAAGCTGATGTATCTATACCTTCCAGCTTGGAAGTTTGGTCTTTAGCATTTCCACATGTTAGTGGGTTCTAAAGAAACTGCCAGACAGCCGCTTTGCAAAGATGCAGCAGGCACCAAGCGGCAGGTGCTGATGGCTGAAGAATGGCCCCTTCCTCCGTCTGCCCACCGAGTCCTGCCCAGGCACTGCTCTACCTTTGACCTAATGGCGCTGCTCCCAGCAGACACCACGTCTTAGCAGGAGCTGTGTTAGGCCAAAACCTGAGCAGGAGTTGAGTGAATAGTCACAAGCCTAGCGCTACATCCATAAGGTTTCAGGCATGAATGTAAAACCTCTCCTTTTGGCATACATGCATCCATCAGGATCGTAACAAAAGTAAAACAATGTATTTCAATCACAGTATGTGTGCAAACATGCCCTGAAAAAATAGAGAGAAAAACGAAGCTTTGGCTAAAGCTACTCGCTCACGTACTTTTTATAAAAATAGGAATAAAGTAGGCAAAAATAGGGAGAATTTTTGCAGCTCATCTGTATCAATTTGCCAGCTTTTTACTAATGCATACTGCTTTTGCTTGTATCAACACTTTCACAAGCCACTTGTTTTTTTTTCAATGGGTAACAGGTCGCACAAAACGCACTGTCACTAGGAAGTGACTCTCGAATTTGTAATGCGAAGTGCTATGCTTGCAATGGATCTCATGGCACAAGTTGAAACCTTGTGACAAACTCCAGCCTGCGAAATGTAGTTGGAAGCTAACCGATACAGCCTTTCTGCCCCAAATATGTTGAAGTGCCCAGGCAGTACCTTTTCCACAAGACCTCTGTCCACCAGCTCCATGAGGCGCTGGCAGCTTGTAACGTAGTCACTTATTCTGCTGTAGGGAAGCCAGTCAATCATGGATCCATCGTACACCACGTCTCCGCTGAACAAAATCTTATGGTCTTTGTCATGTAAGCAAATGCTGCCTCTTGAGTGACCGGGCATGTGCATGACAGTAAGCTGTCGGTCTCCGAGGCTGATCACATCCCCTGCAAAAAGGGAAAAAATATGCATTTATTGTGTATATTAAACACCACGAAGAATATGACCTACCCATATGCTATATATCCACAAAAAAGAGAGCGGGATATTTTCCTGCTGAGCGCCAGAGGCACCTGAAATTACCCCTGACAAAAAATTAACACAGGCTTGGACTGTATTAATTGAAGCTATTCCCACCCTAATAAACTAAACAATGTGAAATGTGACAGAGGAAATAAAACAGGAATCAAACAGAACACATCTAAGCAGGTCTAAGCAAGGTCTCCTTTGAAAGTTTACAATGTATTTCACAATTTATTATCATTTTGCCCTCATTTAATTCGCCTAGAATTGCACGGCTGCTAACTCTGAAAGGCAAAAGGTCAGAACATAAATTGCTGGAGGAGAACCAAGACTGTCCTCCACACACTTTCTTCATCTTATGCAACCAGATATACAAAAACAGAACTTTCTCAATAATATGTCTTTTTTTTTTTTTTTTTCCCCCCATCTTAAATATGAATGCCTTTTCATTGTAGCCACTGAATTGGTGCTTTCAGCAGAAAGGCAGTCTAGGGCTGGAAAACAGGCCATGAGTCTGCTTGTAAATTGTAATGCCAGAATAATTATAAATGTGCAAAAGGCATTTACAGGTGGTAAATATGTAAACTTTCAGGCTGTGCAGGGAAAGAAGACTACCAACAGCTGCTAAAATGTAGCTCCTTAACACCTATATGAAACATTTCTAAAAGAAATAACATCCAGTACAATCGTAAAACAGTGCTTAAAACTCTAATAAGCATTTCATGGAGAACAACAAAAAGTTACCAATCCTCTACCTTACTGAAAATCTGAAAGTTACAGATTGCCTCACACCAGAGACAGGCATGCCACAAATTTACTCAGAACTCAGCAAGTATGAAGGTACTTAACTATTGAAAATAAGACCTTTTGTGAGAGGGCCTTTGGTATTTAACTGAAAAAGAATTTTTGAAAATGCTCAAACAGTGTTTGGAAGTCACCGAAGAACTAACTGTACCTAACAGGGGAATGGATCCTGTACCCAACAGGGGAACATTTGCAGAAACTACTAGTTTCAAAATTATAAAAGAGAATTTTTAGCCTAATTCTCTTTAAGGGAAATGTTGGGGAGCCTTGGCAGGAAAAAGAAGAAGACTTGACTACTGAGAAGACTGTGCAGAAAATGACTGTATTGGTGAATGAAACCACAGTGGAGGTGGTGAAATTAATGGAGGAAAGTGTTGCAGTGGGTTTCAAACTGCTCCTGGCACTGAAAATAATACAAAGAAGCAGAATATGGCATGCAAAATGTAAAGCAGCATGCAGAGTTTAAGAAAAACTCTTAAATTCTGAACCTGAAGGGACCACTAAAGTAAACTGTGAGTCCTAGAATATACAAATCACTAGGAAAACACTAAATGCTAAGGCACAGTACAGGTAAATGCAATTTTAGCTAGAACAGACAAAATTAAAGGTGCTTGAAACATCTAGTAAGATTAAGGTAATGCAAAAATTAAACAAATGAAGCAAGTAGAAGCTGCGGTTTTGGATTGTAACAGATTATTGCCCTTGCCCCGGGGCACATTCTGTATTTTCAGTATTCCTGGAGAGCCTGACCCCACAGCAGTGACACATGGTGGAGATGACATGCCACTTCCACGCAGTATGTCTCAATAAACGTTATTTTAGAAACTCTGATGTTACTTTGGGAGCAAGTGTGCTTGTTCTTTTAAATTATTTTCTCAATAATTCCTCCCTTTTAAAGAAAAAAAACCCTTAATCTGTTGACTGACTATAGCTGTGTCACATCAGAACTTCTCTGAAGCCTTCAGTAAGTTCCGTTCTGCTTTTCCATGCACCTATGTGGGACAGTGTAATACAGCCAAGATACCAAATCCCCTGCAGAAGGTGTCACCTGTCCATCACACAGCTACCCTTTAAATTCTGCTTCACCATGTTGTACGGATAGGTTGGCTGTTGCCAGAATAACTTAGCTGTTGTTCCCTATGAGAGACAAAATGAAATTTTTTATCTGTTACAGGTCACTTCTCTGAATTTTACAGAATTTAGGTAAATTCTGTAAAAATTCATTTTCTTCACAGTAATTATTTAGATAAATTCTTAAAACAAAATCCATATTCTTTGCAGTATGTATTTCAATGGATTGCTTTGTTCTTTACACTGCTATGCCTCAATGGTTTATAAACAATCTGGGTCACCAGACGCCAGACTGACTGACATGGTGACATACTGTTAGCAGCCTAAGGCTAAACCTGGGATGCTCAATTAATCGCTCAAATCACTGTTGAGTAATTTGCATTTCTAAGGAAGAAAATCCTGCACCAACAGGAAATCATGTCAGGTAAGCCCAGGGTATTTTATGCCAGTTTCTCGATTCCTGTCAATACTTTCAGAACTGGTAGAAACAAGAATTTGACCAGCTATGTATCTTTTTTTGTTCCACGTTGAGGCCTGCAGATGGCTTGTTGATTATGTGAAGCAGGTTGCGGAGACCAAATCAAAGTGAAAAAATGCTGGATTATGTGCTGTATGAGGGGGGCTGCCTACCACGGCTGAAGAAGAGGGGCAGTCAACCCAGATTCACTATTCACAGAATCCCAAGATCATCTGGGTTGGAAAAGCCCCCGAAGCTCCTCCAGTCCAACCACGAACCTCTCTCCCTGACTGTTCCCAACTCCCCCAGACCCCTCAGCGCTGGCTCAGCCCGACTCTTCAACCCCTCCAGGGATCCCGGGGACTCCCCCCTGCCCTGGGCAGCCCATTCCAACGCCCAACAGCCCCTTCTGCACAGAAATCCTTCCTCAGAGCCAGCCTGACCCTGCCCTGGGCAGCTTGAGGCCATTCCCTCGGGGCCTGGCGCTGGGGCCTTGGCTCCAGAGACTCATCCCCCCTCTCTGCCCCCTCCTGGCAGGGAGTTGCCGAGGGCCAGGAGGTCTCCCCTCAGCCTCCTCTTCTCCAGACTGAACCCCCCCAGTTCCCCCAGCCGCTCCCCAGCAGACCTGTGCTCCAGACCCTGCCCCAGCTCCGTTG